ACAGTTTTGCGGGCGGTCAGCGGTAACTCGCGTGACCGCGCGTGTTTTTAATTAGACAAACAAACATGGCGGCGAAAAAGCATGGTACACAGCAGACGATTTCTCAAAATCTACTCATTAGAATTTTGTGATATTTGGCAGATTTGCTACTTTTATCGTATTTTAGATAATGAAAACTTTAAAATGGAAGTTGAACTGACGAATTTCGTGACACATTTAATAATTACAATACAATTATATTATTGATTATCTAAAAGTCCGTCTGTTAAAATTTGATCAAATAAGTTTCAAATGGTAATGATTAGTTATAGTAAGCTGTGTGCAAGTTTGTAGGAAAATCTAATGAGCGAATTTTATGTAAACTGAACAAAAGTGAAATTTTAAGGTTGTATTCAATCGTTCATGTTGCCATGGAAACTACGAAAACGTCAAATTTTACCTGTCAATCAAAATCTTTCATCGGTATGTTTTTCACCCGCCAAGTTTCAGCATGTGAGCTGCAACTTTTCTCTTGCTATGATTTGCCAAATGACATACACTCACAAACTGCCAAAACTGTGTTCAGCCACCTTAATATACCCATCAACGTTACAGATATAGTTCCGGTTTACGTTAAAAAGCGAATTAACAGGCTGCTAAAACATTTCACAGAGGTACAAATCTTAACAAGCATTGATCTTACAATGTCCATAAGCGAGTGTTTCACACCCGCTTGGTAAAATATAGCGTTTGTCGTCATAGCGAGAGATATTCTTGTCTTGGTCAAAGTGATAGAAGAGATGCAATGTTTCTCACTTGAATTTGGTTCATCCGTGTAATCTGTGGTGTTATAAATAGACCTTTTTACCGATACGGCGGCCATATTGAATTAATTCGATTTAAGGAGTATTATAGGATACCCAGGAGGCATGAGCACATTTCGTTTGTATTTTTTAGCGCTTTTCGCAACATTTTTTCTTTAAGTTTTCTTAGAATAAGATTGTAATGGGAAAAAAGATCCCTGTGCCGTGTTTGGATGTAATAATAATCGCCTTTTTCCCGAGAAATATACAGTGAAAGACCATATTTCTAATACTAAACTAGAAGAAGGCGATCATTATTATATCCAAACACGGCACAAGGATCTTCTCTCTCATTTCAATGTTATTCTAAGAAAACTTTAAGAAAAAATGTGCCGAAAAGCGCTCAAAAATACAAACGAAGTGTGCTCATGCCCCCTGGGCATCCTATAATACTCCTTAAATCGAATTAATTCAATATGGCCGCCGTATCGGTAAAAAGGTCTATTGCTTCACAGATTTAAGGGTATTTTTTCTTTTATCATTAATAAGTAAGCCACTAAGTAGGTAAATGTTTCGTCTTTTGATGGCTTTTGTTTTTTTCCAACACCACTTGCTTTAAATCGCGGTAAACCCTATGGTTTTCTGGGTGTCGATAAATGATAAACAGTGCGATGTCAGTGTTCTTACTGGGTCGATGATGGTGTTTCACTCGTGGAACACACTCCCGAACGTTTACTATTCTGTGTCATATATAACCAAGAAGATTATTGCTGCAGACATTGCTTTAGAGTGAAATTTTTTGCACTCACCATGGACGGAAAAATTACGCGTTCCCGTTCCTTATACGACAGAAACATGGATATGAACTTTTATGGGCAACAAATGTTATTACTTAATTCACTTTATTTTGCACGTTTTCAATTTTATTAGTGCCGCCTTGACATGTGTTCAAAGTTTAACGGTGTGTGACCTGACCGATTGTACTAGAACAGAAGGACATTTCTTTCGTTGGCATTGTTTACGCTTAAAAGAACGGAACCTCTTTAAAAAAGAACGACAGCTATCTAAATGTTTGTTAGTTTGTTATAAGAAATTGTTTAATATTACAGTTTCAGTTTACTCCGTTATGTTTTGTTGTTCAACGCGAAACTAAATTTTGTCTCGTAGCAAAAGTTGTAATGTATGTTTTGAATACTGTGAAAAGCGAAAGTTGTATTGTGTGTTTTGTTTTGGTGACTGAGTCTACTAGCTTTGATTAGTTTATGAGAACACAAAAGAGGTATGGGTCAGATGCAAATGACTACTGGTTAAGGGAAAGTGTAACAGTGATTAAGTTATAAATGATCAACAAAGTTTATAGGTATTATTTCCTTTTTTTAATTCACAGTGTATCATCAATTCTCACGATAGGACATTTATTCTACTAATTAAAAAGTGTCCGATTCTCGATAACTCCATGTTGTCGCTGGTGTTTGGGTCGCTTGGGATTCTTGACTTTCAGTGTTTTAAGGTCTCGTATTTTGCGTTTTCTGTTAATCTTTCGAATTCCGGTGAGTTGACTAGGATCGCAGTTTCCAGGATCCTCTCGTCTCCAGTAGTTAGAGTTTTTACCGTCCGTGGGTAAAACAGTGAATTTACTTCCACATCGAAATTGGACCATTTTGATCAGGTTTGCTATTTGCATCCACACCACCTTGGCGAATGCTTCATCTTTTTGTTTCATCACGTTCTGTAAAAGTTCCAAGAGGAGACTTATCACCTCCCAGGCGATTTCAAATTCGCTTCAGTTCTCTCCGAAAAAGCAATGAAACATGATTGTCGTGCTCTGCTGGTGTATGAACATTTTTAATTGTCTTAAGCTTTCTGTGATAATTCCATTGTTCCGTTCAGGGTTTTGAAACAGGTAGCTAAGTTTCCGATATTCTCTTTCAACATCAATATTCCACACTTTTTCGAGGGTGTTTGGGGTTCCAGCAGTAAACTTGCCAGCCATATTGATTTTTTGTTGTGGGTTAAACGTTCTGAGACTCGAACTCGAACAAGACGTCGCATAAAATAGCTTGCAGGTAGTGTTCAGGTCTTGTTATAGACACTGAACAATACAACTGGGACTATCCAATCAGAGTAGGTGTTGTGTGTGACTTATTGTTGTCAAACAAAAGGCACACGAGCTAGTTCACATGCAAATTTTAGAGCTCGCGTCAAAAATGACATTTGTTAAACATAATTAGTGACTAACGCGGTGTAAAGATGGATAAAACTTTATTTCACACAAAACCTTTAAAAATATTTCAAAGGATCTCAAGACAGCTCTATTTCCACACAGTCAGTGATGTAACATTTTTATTTAGAACAAACAGGAAGACCTAGGGTTCCTTATATTGTTAAGCATAGCAATACATTTTGATCTGCGTGTATCTTGTGCAAACGCTCTAGAATAAGAAGGTCACTGTTTATCGTTTTCAATCTCTTCACGTTCTTCAGGGGTGATAACATAACGTTGAAAAGGTACGTGTTTGCCTTCAATGTGTCTTTCATACAAAACCTTCAACACCCGGTGACTTTCGGGGTGATTCCCGTCCTCTCTTGCGTACTTGTAGTACGCCTGACGCAGCACATCATCTTTCTCTAGACAAAGTGTAGCATCTGGGTTGTCTCGAGAGTCTTCTTTCATTTTTTGGACATAAAACTTGTACGATTCCCATACTTCATGCATCCATTCTCTGTATCTAAGCCCATGAAAGATGTTAGGACTTCCTAGACTGTTAAATCGTTGTCACACATTACAAAGCCTTCGTCATATTTGCGTGTACAGCGCTGGTGCTTGATAAATGCTTTCTGTTTAGCCTCTTGGCGATGTTTTTCAAATATCTCCTTTATCTCCCCATAAGGTTGGAATCTTGTGACCAGTGGCTGAGGTGAGTACGAGAGCCGCTCCTTGATATCATGCGATATTGGGTGGTCTATCCACAGGAAAAATCCACACTCTTTTTTGCAGCATGTCAGAAACATTCGATCCTGGCTCCAAGGCTGTTTACTTTTTCTCAATGCTAGCTTGTTAGAACAATCACAGACCAACTGAGCTGCATATTTTTTCACATCAGAGTGTGTATGATGCGCGATCCACTCTATGTCCTCTTTCCATTCTGAAGCAGGGGCAAACATAAAGCACATTTTCTCGGGGCAGTACACATAGCAAAATCCCTGCGCTTTTTCTACCAATTCCAACGTTGAGCAGGGATGAAACGGGCAGACCTGACCGGGTAGGGAACTCGCTTTATCTTCTCTCAGCAGAGGTGTAGCGCTCGATTCGACTTGCATGTTTGGAATAATGTTTTAAAAAATATTGGTGATAATAAGACTTTTTCCTTAGCAAAGCGATTGCAAGAGTAATATGCTGAACGGAGAGCCCGCTTTTATTTGGAAGATAGAATAGATTCTACATGAGCCAATCAGGGTGGGTATAGACTGGGCAAGTTTGGGCCGGCCTATTGTTCCTATTGTAGAGAGTGACGCTCATTAGTAAACCTATACCGAATTAGTATGCAGGAAGACACTGACTAGGCACTTAAATTAATATGGAGAAAGGCACTTTTTTCCCCTAGGTTATCACAACCGGTGACGTCAGAGACTAGGCACTTGCTAGGCATTGACTAGGCACCAACGAGGCTTAATTTCCAACATAGTAGACTACTAATTTTTCTTTTAGGTCAGATGACCAAATTTATAAAACGTTTATGAAACACATACATACCTTATTCGCACTTAATTTCGCGCGTCTTTAATTCGCGATTTTCGCGCTTGTAAAAAATCGCGAAATTAAAGCCTCGCGAATAAAAATCCTCGCGAAATTTACACACGCGAAATTGAATACCATGGTAAGAAATTGAATCACAAAAAACTTGATAAACATGATCAACAACGACATGTACACCTTATGAATCGACATAAATAATAAAGTATTTACTGGTAAGCTCCATTTTGCATCTTGTCAAGTGTGATAAATAAAGGTAATGTGCAAAGATTTCACATGAAAATATCGAGCAGAAAATCTAACTACTCATCTTCATCTGAATTACTGTCTTCGAGCAAATCCCTTAAAATTTCTTTCGTGCACCAGTCAAAATTGCCATTATATGTTTCCTTGTAATTCTCATTCACAATTTTCTTGTACCGTTCCAACACTGAAACATTCTTCGAGGTGGAGTATAGATTTCGATGCAAACAGGAAATTTAAGGCCACCCTGTATGAGAGGGGATCGGCGATACTTTGAATCAACTACCGTTACTTTAACGTTTCCTCCTCTTGAAATAAGAAAACGCGTGTACCTGGAAATCTCTTTTGGTAAATGCCCCACAATTGAATCAGATAAGCGGCCCACTGTTAAAGAAACAGGAAATCCCCAAGAATCTACCCCACAGTCTCACTCACCAAATGCTGCTGTATGTGGCTATTTACCAGAGCAGGAGGCTACTTCTCTTGGAACCAAGGAATACAATGAAGTTGTATTGTCGGTGGGAAACATTGTAGATCCTGACAGGAACTCTTCTTCGAATAGAAAGCGAGGAAATTACAACCATTACTCCCCGGAAATGCGTGCAAAAAACGGTAAATATGCCAGTGAAAACGGAAATGCAAGAGCCATAAATCACTTCAAAGCACAGCTACCGAACCTTACGGAGAGTAACGTGAGAACCTTCAAAAGAGCATATCAGAAGAAATTGAAGGAAACGAAGAGACAAGGAGGAATACAAGAAAACGTAACTTCTATTCTACACGGCACTCGTGGTCGCCCGCCGATCCTTCTTGATCTTGACCAAAAATTGATATCACTTTTGAAGAGCATACAAAACAGAGGTGGTGTTGTTAATTTTAGTGTTGTCAAAGCCTCAGCCTTGGCATTGATAAAAAGAAATCCCGCGAAAAACTTCAGGGGATGTGAGCCAACCTCGACGTGGGACAGATCAATTTATCGACGGTGTAATTTTTCCAGGCAAGCTGGAACCACAACAAGACCTCCTGTGCCTCTAGGAATATACGAAGAGTGCAAACTAAACTTTTTAACAGACATCGAGAGATGCATTGCAACGCACAGTATTCCTCAGTAACTTCTTCCTAACGCAGATCAGACACCTTCATCGTATGTTTCTGTTGGAAAAATGACAATGGCAGCCCGCAATTCCTCTTCTGTGCCAATCAAAGGCCTCACAGACAAAAGAAACATAACTCTTACATTTTTTATCTCCTTAAACGGCGATTTCCTGCCTATGCAAATAATTTACCAAGGAAAGACGAAAGCAAGTCAACCGAGAGGCTTTGATTTTCCACGTGGGTTTGCAGTAACGCAGAATCCCACACATTACTCGAACGAATTGGAAACTCTCAATCTACTTCAACCAAGCAGATTGCGCATCCGAACTTTATTATAATTTATGAGAAATGACAGGAGGAGCAAATGGAGATCTCTCGCCTTCTTCCACGAAAACAAGGGGAAAAATGCCCTAAGAGACAGTAGCGATAAAATAAGGAAGGCGAAGAATTAAAAAAAGACCGAGAATGAATTAATAAAAGCAGAAAATTTTTCAAGATTAAACAGGTTTGAAAAGATAAAAGTAAGGTTCAAACAATGAAATCTCTTAAAACTAAAAGCATGTAAAATACAGTGTTGTGGATCATGATTGCCAACGAGCCATTCGAGCGAAGACTCGAGGATGGCAAGGCGGCAGCATAATAAAGCCGCACAAGACTGGCAATAGGCAGAAAAATTCTCGGTCGAGCTTTAAAAAGCCGATGTGACCCGTAACCTGGTGTAATTTGGTTTTCAGACCATGTTTGGTTACCTATGGATAGAACATTGTATTTAATATACATTAAGCTGTTGAACATTAATATCATATTTCATATTTCATTTTTATGTTAATTTCCCCTTTCTTAGATAACCACGTGGCTACATTCAGAATTTAAGCTCTTTGAAACGCTCAAGAAATAAAAAATCAGTGGTTCGCGTTTGACCTCCAAACCAGCCCATCCAAGTTGAGACTAGTTGAGGCATTTAATATTGCATGCCACTCCACATCACAAGAACAAGAGACATTAAAAACAGCGGTAACTCTAAAAAACACTAACGAAAACAACAATGATCAAATCATATCCAACGAACAATCAATGGTCAGGGTTACCCTAACCTTTGACATTGATTTTGATTATCAACCCATCCATCAATCTCAAAAGACTGCGCCCTCAGCTCAGCCTGCCAAAAAGATTACATTTGAATAGCTCTTACACTTCAAGTCAACCAGAAAGTGAATGTCGCTGCATCAATTTCACTGGGAAATGAAAATCCTAAACCGATTCAACTGAAAACATCAAAGGAGATGACATCAGTGAAGGAAGACCGTGTTCTAGATGATGAAACTGAGACTGTAACTATTCATGTATAGGATGCACTTATTAACCAGATCAAAAGTGGCACCACATATGAGACTGAGAACCTTGCTGTAAAGCAGTTCCAAGGAATCACCCATTTAGAAACAACACGTGCAACAACCTTTAAAGAGGCAAATCAGAAGCTGAAAACTCTAAATGGCCCTGCATTACTCAAAAAACGTGAGAAGGAAGTAGGGAGATTAAGATGATAAACAAACTTAGCATTTATACTACCTGTCAAACATGCAAACGAAAACTAATGATATATCCCAACAAAAATCAGTCAAGTGTAAAAACTGCGAACTACGACAGAAGCAAGCAGCGTGAAAACGAGATGCACCTGTGCAACTACCTGTACCTTTGGATGACAAAGATGTGTGGTTAATAGCATTTACAGATGGTCTGGAGTCCTTATTTGCCACCCACCCAACACCTTACTTACTTAGTGACTCGGATACCATGTTCATGCGGAACTGCGAAACTGCTCTGGAGAGTCTTGTTACTACAAACTTTACAAAGGATAATTTGATTAAAACATTCAGTTTCGTTTTTCATGGTCTTTTATCACAGTGCGGCACAGTGCAGACCTAAATTAAAGGTCAAATGAACCAAAACTTAGACATTTTTCTTCCAGTTCAATTTTAGTGAAATATGTTTAAGATGATCCAAATAAACAAACCATGAGGTTTCAGCTTAATTGAAGCAAGCATCTCCAAGATATTCGCAATTAATAATTGCCATTTTTTGGCCCTTATTTTCGTAGAGGGGTTGGAAAAACTGTCGAAGAATATTCGACAACAACAATGTGTGACGTCAGAGTTGGTGATGTCAAATCTAGTCAGGTCAAGTTGGCTCAGAAATGATGATTTTTCGGTGCAGCTATAACTTGCACTAATCATTCCAATTGCTAGCCTTGATCATATGCCTTGGAGTACCCTGCAAAAAGTGCCTAAACTATGCCTTATTTTGTAATAGGTTGTGGTTTAGTATTGATGTATTAGTTTTGAATTTAATTTGTTATCGTTGTTCCATAATATCACAGCTCAACCACGCAGTAAAGGTAGAAGCGGACTAAAAAAGCTGGCTACCGGCTACTAAATCATTTTCAAAGAAAATGAATTTTCTATACCTATATTTCGCAAACTAGAACAACGAGAAAAATTCAGACATGTCCTGACACCTGGATCACTAGCTTGAAAAAATTACAACCACTTGCTAGATCCCTAGATTGCATGGATGTTACATGTAAAAGAGCCCCAAATTACAGGTTTGTTATTTTCAATACAAAATTATGTAGCCATTATGGCTCTTGCTAGAAGTGATCCATACATGTATGTACTCATCAGGTCTTCATTTTCTAAATATTGTTATAGTAAAGTTCAGATATAACACGCACTGATTGGTTGAAAAAGCGTGCTTTATGAGAGTAAATGAAGCCAATAGTTTGTTTTGAAATCATTTGGAAACATTGGAATTTAACGGATTCTTGTCATAAAGCAAATAAAGAGGCCTTGGTTGTGCTCTGTTCAGCTGTTGTAAAGCACTTTAGAAGCAGCTAGAGCACTCAAGAAGTATGGAGAAACACTCGACTATATCACTTGTTTACCTCTACAGTTCTTTTGTGCTCCAGCCTTTTCCTGTGTGCTTTACAACAGAACAGAGCACAGTCAAGGCTTCTTCATTTGTTAAATTGAAAGCCATCTCAGTGATAGCTGGTTTATGCACAGAGTATTGTAATTCTCAGTCTCGTAACATTTCTGATCAACTAAACGGAAAATACTTGATAAAAATCATCTTCATTTTAAAATTCTAACTTAAATCAAATTTCCGTATATCGTTGGAGACTCAGGGGCAGATAGTGAGGGCAAGGGAAAGTCTAAACAAGCGGTACAAATGGCGCAAAGAAAGATAATTCTTCGCGCCATTTTTTTTTCTTTTTTGCCCGTTTATACTTGCCCTTGCCCCCACTATCTGCCCCTGGGTCTTGAGGATGATTTCCGTACAGCCCATAGATTTATTATGCATATATGTGTCAGAAATTACTGCATGCATAACAAATATATGGGGTTGTACAGAAATCTTACTACTCTTGCCACTTGTTCACGTATCGGGATGTCTTACAGAGGCCAAGAAAACAATAATTTTGAATGCTCCCTCATTACAGCCTATCTTGTTCACAAAGTGTTGAAATTCTTGGTTTGTGTTACACATGACATTATGACATGACTTGGAATTTTCACAGCAGCAAATACTCTTTCACTCAGTGTGCAAGGTTACACGGTCACAAATACATATTTAATTAGAGTTCGAGACTGTAAGTGACGAAATTGCATTAAAATATACTAAAATAGTAATTGACTTAACATCTTGTACATGTACATTGGGATACTCTTTGAAAATCACATCACAGTGTTGTCCATGAATGTTTATAATCACTCTACTAAACAATGCCATTCTCCATTTGTACACATTAAGTCGCACTCACGGTAGGAGATCGTAGAAAAACCTAAAGGGTGACCATGTAAATATCAAGAGTGGAATAATCCCGCCCATGACGATTGTTTACAATTATAATACTGTACATGTAAAATTCTATACAGAAACAACAAACGGCTGAGTGGAGAAACAGTGTGGGGTTAGGGTAAAAGATATTGTTACTTTCATGGCACCCATTTACTAATGAAATGAATCATACGCTCATCCTTCGTTCCTCGAAGCCTGCGAAGGAACCATCAGAGGCATAAGATACTTTTTTTGAAACCGTCCGCTCATATGACAGAATTCCGTTATTTGTGATCAAGGACTGTTTGCCCCACGCATTACCAACCTTAACCGGGCTAGTGAACCTTTCGTTTGCCAGCTCGATTTTCTAGGGCCTGGAAGAAGTCTGAGGTGGTGCCGTACCTCGGGGATGGAGATCACGAGATTCCTAATAACCACCGTCCGATCTCGTTACTTCCCGTACTTTCCAAAGTGACCGAGAAGATTTCTTTGAATCAATTTAATGGCTTTCTGACTCAACAAGGCAACCTCACCTGCCACCGGAGCGAGAATAGCAAATACCACTTTACCGACACCCTGAATCTGCTTGCTACCGCTCATATTCTCAAAGCAATGGACAAGAAGGAAATAACGGCTATGGTCCTATGTCATAGGAGACTCCTTCTAACTGTTGCAAGGGCTTGGTGCGTCAAGTAAGGAGTTGAAGCGGTTGAAGAGCTACCTTACTAACCGTATGCAGTCAACACGACTAGGCACATAACGCTCTGAGGGGCTAATCGTTACACATGGCGTACCTCAGGGGTCCATTTTAGGGCCACTCCTGTTCAGTCTCCACATGATTGACTTACCCTCAGTTGTCAAATTTTCAAGTGTCGAGTCACATGTCGATGAGACCAACGTTTACCTTTCGTTCTCTTTCAAGAACATTGACTCCTGACTGACTAAAGTCTTCCTGGTGCTGTTCTAATATTCTAATAAGCTACTCATCAATCCTAGTAAAACCAAACTCATTTTGTTTGGAATGCGACAGCTATTAAGTAAAATTCCGGATGTCAGAATTCCTTTTCTTGGCCAAAACTTAGCTCCCGTACCTTCAGTCAAATATCTGGGTGTCATACTAGACTCAAACCTTACATTTAATGAACATGACAGATAGACCTTCGTTTCTTATCTCTTCTCT